GAAACATTCACTGCCCTTGGCTGCCGGGAGGACTGTTGGGTCCGTGATATGCTCGTAACCCTCCTGCGAGGGCCTGGTTTTCCGTGTCCAGGGCATCACCTCCGCAGGTTGAGCACCCCGCCCCGAGACCTGACAAAACCAGCCTCCGCTTCTTTCCTCAAGCAGCTAGTTTTCCCTGCTTGCAAACAGGACTCAGTCAGTAGTCATATTTTTAGCAGAGGAACAAAAGGACGCTCAGCAGTAGATAAGCAGGCAACTAAGTGATTCTTAAGCTATACCAAAAGCATTGTGCTTATTTTCCTCTAGAAGATACCTGCTAGGCCAGCCGGCTGCTTTTCCCTTCCCATGTTCACCAATTACCATAATAAATTGTCCAAAGTGGGGAAACACCCTGCAGAAAACTCTCCCTCAAAATCTCTTGTACAGTTTCTTCTGGGCTCTAGTATTTAGACCCCAATGTGAGAATTTAATGTCCTAGGTTAGGGTCCTCACTCAGCTCAGACATAGCTAGACAGAGTTGATAGCTTAGATTTGTCTGCACCTTTATAATTACAAATCGCCTCCACTTTATCACTCCCTTTTTAACAAATGTACTTCTCAAACATGGTAATATATGCAGAATCGCCTTGTTTCAGGCCTTCATGACAACCCCTCTTTCAAAGATTTATCTCCTAATTTTTTCAGGGCCCCCATGCCCTGCTGACTCCGCTGACTTTTGACATGCGCTTTAAATTAAAAGCAGGAGCTCACTTGCTTTAAACAGTGCCGTAACACCTCTTGCTCCCATAGCGTGTACTCACATGCTTCCTAGCACCCAACAAGTGAAACAAATCTTGCAAGCAAAGCAAGAAAATGAACATCTGCAGGGGTGGGAATGGATTCCCCCGTATCCAAGTTTCAGTCCATAATTTGGTGCATGTCCTGGAAGAAAATTCAGAACATTCTGAAAATTCTAGGAACAGAAGCAGATTTGAGATACATTTTGATGGAGTATTTTCTTTCTCCTTTCTGTGATTTTCTTTCCAGTTCTAGCAGCTGAGCTTTTATTTTCTAGGAGAAATCTGACTTTTCACTCTCAACCTTATTTGGTGAGGTGGAGGAGACAGAGAGCATGCTCTTCATCAAGCTGAGAGGCCGCTGTTCGCTCAATGAACGGAGAAGACTTCCTTGGCGTGGTCAAACTAGTGTTCATTTGGAGATGCTACACGTGACAGAGAGGCCACGAGAGGTTCAGCATTTTTTTTTTGACCACACTAACCAGGTTCAGCTGCTTCAGAAGACCATGATGTGTGTGGATGTGCTTGGTCGTAATCCTGCTAACATATTCAGATTCACTAAAAGCTGTACAGGGCCCCTGAGGCCTTCAGCTCCACTCAGCTTAGCGTGCCTGGGGTGGCGTGGTGCCTCGGCTGGGTTAGACGCCGTGGTGTGGTGCAAAGCAAAAGGAGCACGTGGGAGTGAAGCTGAGGTGAGGAATGGTCACAGGGATAACACAGGGGCTGGTCCTTCCTCCCCGCAGCTGGAAAAGGTGCTTGCCTTGATCTATAATGTCTCATTCCTGGTGAGTGCGTTGCCTGCTCCAGGCAAGCTGCTGGCGGGCGCCTGAGGAGCCCAGCCCTGCTGCGAGACACAAAGCAAGCGTGTCCTGGGATGCCCTGCCTGCCCTCCTGCCTTCCCTTAAAGCTTCAGGGTGCAAAAGTCAAATTAAATCCCTGCATTTTCCAACGAAAGTCTTGCTGTTGCTATGAGGGATGGGACTTGGTGCTGGTCATCATAGGACCTGCAGCAGCGTTTGTGGGAAGTGACCGCTGGGAGCAGGGCCAACGCCGGCACCAGGTAGTAGCATTCATGTCCCACTAAGCCCTGACGGAGCCGCCACCCCCCGGTGATCAGTCTCAGGGTGGTGCCCCATCCTGGGGATGGAGCAGCCCCAAGGCTTCCCTAAGCCTCCCAACCCATAATTTGGGGGCACTGTCTCTCCTTACACCATCCGGCACCACCCAGAAGAGTTTGGCTCCATCCCCTTTGAACCTTCCCTGGGTGATCGCCCTGGGGCCTCCCCTCGGGCAGCCCCACAGAGCCCAGCTCTGCCACCTTCCCTCCTAGGCCATGGCCTTTGGTCATCTGGGAACATCTGCTGATCCGTCTCTGGTTTCTCCACATCTCTTTTCACATGGGGGGGCCCAAAACTGGACACAGCCTTGCTGGTGCGTCCCCACAGTGCTGTGCAGGGGGATACCGGCTGCCCTCGAGGTGTTCTGGAATTTCCCTTTCCAACTGGAGCCATTTCAAACCAAAACCCAAAGCCAACCCCGGGGGCACGAGGGATGCTCGTGGGGAGGACGGGTTTGAAGTGACGCAGCTCATCCGTTATTGCAGCTTGAACACTTGCAATCGGCTTTTGCAGCTCTGCGCCTCTCGGCCTCAGCCATCGCCTGTGCCAAACCTACACGTGCTGGCTGCCTTCCAGGTGGGCATCTGTTTATAAGGAGATTTAGTGGCTGGAAAGGGAAGCTGAATTGTGCAGGGACCAGCAGTAAGATGCTCTTTTCACCCAGGAGAGTAATTAGTGCCTGAAGCTGCTCAGGGTTATAGTCAGCCAGTGGAAATGCTTAAATCATGTTTGGATGTCTCTAGAAAAGGCAAGACAGGAATGAATTCAGGACAGTCTCTTGAGTGAAGGAGGCTAGATGAGAAAGCTATAGTGGGTCCTTATTATATATTAAATCCATGGAGAACTAGGTACTGAGCTGTTTTGTTAGATTTGATCCCTGGGTCTGTGCTGGTCCCCAGCTGTGTCCCCATCCTCAGAGCCCCCAATATACCTGTGTTACAGGTGTCCCCTCCTTGCTTCACACTCTCTTCCAGCCCCTGCTCTCCACTCTCCATGCCATCTCAGTTCCTTTTCCCCTCCCAAGGGTTACGCTGAGGGTCACTTGCCAGTGATAGATCTTTTTTTTTTTTCATAAAAAGCAGGGCAGAGACATAGCTACTCAAATTCATCTGTCACAGGCTTAAGCTAGTTACTGGGTCCATGTGACATGCCAGTTGTCCTCCCCTTTTTCCCTGTGGAAGGAGAGGCAACGCTAAGGCTTAGGCCAGACCCTGGAAGCTGATGGTTGAGCTGAAAGAGGTACAAGAAAGAGGTGCAAGGTGTGTTGGGAGGGATTGGGATCTTCTGGCAGCTTAGGGTGGAGTGGGGAGGGATGGAGATATGGGTCTGCTGTGGGGAAATGGGTCAGTTACAGATTGAGTGATCCAACAGCATGAAGGAGAAGGAGGGCTAATGGCTGAGCACAAGACATGGCTCTAGCTTCAGTGCTGGCTCCAACATGGTTCTTGCGGGTATTGGACCAGGAAAAGCTCAGCCCGCTCAAACCCACCACCATGACCCTGAGGCTGTGAGGAGGGCAGCACCATCTTGGTGGCTCCGTACGGAGCCAGTGCTGAGGACCTCATGGCCATAAGGAGGGGATTTGCCTTGACCTGGCTGGGCAAAGAATCGCATGTTGGGATGAAGCCCTGAGCCAAAACAAATGCTCACGTAGATGTTGGTCTGTGGCCCAGAGAGTGTCTGCCACATGGATGTCTGTGCTGGAACCTCAGCCATGGTGAGGAGCCCCAGGGAGAAGAAGTCCAGACGGAAGGCCCTACCTGGGCACATCCTCTCCCAGC